AAGGGTAGAGGGTCCCACAGAGGGAGAGGATCTGTCTGATGGGGAGAAGTCACACAAACCGTCAAAAAAAGGCTGGACTCACCATCGGTGCACTCAGTAGGAAACTGTGAGTAACCGTCTCAACAGCTAAACCCGCCTTTAATCTGGAAACATCACAGTAGGCAACAGCAAGTGAGTACGTCCTGTGGCTGAAAAGCTAAATGACTCATGTACTCCAGTGGTTACTATGGAGTTGTTTACACATTGCTTTGTGAGTGAAAAAAAAAAAGAGAGAGAGGACAAAAATCTAAAGAACTCACCCAAAATGAACTAAATAGAAGAAGATTTGCGCAAGCTGGCAGCATGAGGAGGAATAACTTGGCAAGGCAAGGAGGTTTCCAGGAGGAGTCCAAAGGGCTCGGGAATGAACCCACCAAGCCACTACTCCCCAGACAAACCGACTGCTTGTCCTGCGGCCAGATGGGTGGAAGAGTATGAGAAATAACAGACCAGAAAGTCCAACTCCTATATTGAGCAAACTGGGCTTAAGCTAAGAAATAACTGAAAAGGGAAATCCCACCTGGCAAATATTCAAGCTCTTTGAAATGTGTAGCAAGCAGCTGGGGGATGAGATGATCTTCCCCTTAATTATATGATTAATAGTCACTAATTTGATAATTTACAAATTGATAGTTTGAAAAAAATTCATAACAAAGGATGTGAATAGAATGGGAGTTTTCATACGAGGGGAAGGCCACCAAATAGGTTCCCTGGGAATACATGATTTCTATATGAAATTCCTTGCCATGGGAGGGTTTGGATGCCTCTAAGTCCTGAGACAAATTCATCGCTGTTAGAAATAGTAGTACAAGGTAGAAATGGGCAGCAGAGATTATTTTTGGCAGGGAAGCTATCATGATGCAGATGCAGCTTTTGAGATCCTGCTCCACAGATTGCCAGACTTTAAGCAGGTGCAAGAATGGCTCTGCTGCCCTTTTCTACCTTGCACTATGCTACGCTTCACTGTCTGTGCTTTAAATACTGTATCCTTCTTCTCCTCTTTAAATATACCTTCAGAAAGCGAGATGCTTCCCTTCCCAGGCTCTGTTACAGGGAAACCCAACCATCTTCACCTCCCATCTCTGGGGCTCCAGAAATCTCTGGGATTTAAGCCATCAGGCATCAAATTAAGTTGGAGGCAGGTTCCCCAAATGAGATGTGAAGCATCTTTCCACAGCTGGTGTTAATCTGTGGAGCTCTCTGCCACAGGACACTGCAAACACTAGAAGTCTGCATGGGCTCAGAAAGGAATCGGTCAAATTAATAACCACAAAATCCATCAGGTGACACAGAGGGAGTCACAGACCTGAGGAGGTACAAAAAGTGTTCCTGGAAGTGTGGCTGTGGGTTCAGTCTGACCCCACAGCAGCATCCAGAGGTGATGCCTCCCAAGAAACAGGAGTGAAATTGAAGCAGCCGAGCGCTGCAGCCTGCGGCTGAGCAGCGGAAACCAGCACAGTGTGTCCCCATCGTCAGCTGCCCCGAGCCGCGCGCTGGCACCAGGGCATAGGAAGGAACTGGAATCATGCTCATTGCACCCGGTTTGCTTTCGGCACACACAGGCAGATAAAGACAGGCCCACGCATCCTCTGTGGTATAAAAATGCCGCTATCAGTAAAGCAGAAATAGCGTTTCCTTTCTTTCTAGCCTTCGTCTGCTTTATCAGGGCAGTGGGGAGGCTCTCTGTTTGCTGTGAGTTTGCCGGGTAGGAGATGTCTGCTCCCAAATTGGGGTTGTTCGGACAGAAAGGGAGAAGGGAAGGAGGAAATCCCTTCCTGTCAGGAGCCCTGGAAGCAGTGCTGGCTCCTGGCCAATAGCCACCCTCCTCACCCACATCCCCACTCCCTTTGGTCCCCAAAGGTCACTCTCCATTAGGCACTGCAGCTTTTTGTTTAGGAAATACCAGCTGGGATGTCCTGTCCCATGTGAGCAGGGCTGACCGTGGCCTCTGCCAAGCAACAACAGACCTTGCCCTGCAGCCCTCCGGGCCCGGCAAGTCTCCAAGAAATCTGTGGAGAAAAAGACAGACAGCCTCCAAGTGGCCGGGCCAGGCTGACTGTGCACACTCAGCACTGTGATTCCTCCTTCACCCCGGTTCTCCCCCGGAGCAGAGGAGCAGAACAGAGGGAACGGGAGACACCCCCAATGGGGCAGAACTGCCTCTAAAGCTTTTGGGTTTTGAGAATATCTGGATGCATCACAGTAATGTGTTAAAGCACAGGAGTAAAAAAGCATTGCTTCTGCCTCAGCAATCAGCCACCTCCCAGGAAGTCCAGCACCCAGCGCAGTGTCACGGTGGGTGAGGACAAACCCAGCCTGGTCTGCCGCAGCAGGAGGGGACAGGTCCTCACTGTGGACAAAGAGCAACAGAGCAGCTCAACCCTAGGACACATGGGGAGGATGAGGCCTCGCACACCCCAAAGCAGACAGCAAATGTCCCCAGGTCCCTGCTGGCTCACAACATTATGCTCCAAGGACTCAAAATGGCTCTGCCTGTAAAATGAGGATGATTTCAAGCCCACCTTTCAGCTGTGCTTGCGACATCCGAGGCATACTTTGCTATTTCAGAGCAAATAGTATTTTATGATTGTTCCTTTTGAAGTATTTCTGCTTCTATAAACCCTGAAAGTTCAGCCACCACCCAGGCCTGGAGGTCTTAGGTGGGGCCACCATTACACAGCTAATGCTGAAGAAACTGGCTCAGTGTGGATTCCTGAGGCTGGTCAAAAAAAGCACATTCAGAGAATTTCCCCATTCCATGGCAACTCCCACTTCCCGCTTCACAGGAAACCCCAGCGGACAGCGAGTAAAAATCAAACGAGACTCACGTCCGACTGGAGAAGCGATAAGAAATTTGGTTCTGATCCATGCCGTGGAGAAACGCAACAGAATGCCAACTTCTCGGAAGCCAAAAGACTGAATGTTTGCCAAGAGGCTAAAAATAAGCCAAAGAGGGCTATATTTAAAGGCACGTACTAATAAATGCCTCTATCCTTGATTAAATAAACTGCAACTTCCAGAAAAGCACTCTCTATTTTCCAGCAGTTTGGGGCGAGCTTTGGCAGCAGGAAAATAAACATGAAGTTCAACACTTTCAACACAGTTTCAAACGACTACCTCGTGGCTGGAGCTGTGCCGGAGTCAGTGCCGTCCCTCCCAGAGCGGCAAACTGAGGTCTTGTTGGACTGCAGCAGAACCTTTCCTTCAGTCATTGATTTCCTTTTGCCAGTTTAATTAATTCCTTAGAAATAAACCACCCCCTTCCATGTAAACGGAGACTGGAAGTTTTTGCTACGTGGTGTCACGAGCATTTACAGTAGCACCTTCCCAGTGTTGTCAGAAGGAGCATCTCAGCCGCTCCAGCCGAGCCTCACAGTGACAATTACTTCAGCTCTGCATGATAATGACTCCAGTAGGCTTACAACGAACGTGTTTGTACAGGGAAAACCGCCCAAGATCCCTGGGTGAAAGGAACTGTGCCAGAGCTCATTAAACAACATCATTTAACTTGACAAGTAACCCCTGTTGAACTGCACCGCAAGAATAGTGTGTAAATAGAGCTCAGCCACGAATCACAGAAGGGATATCTGGTCTGGTTAAACAAAGCATTATTTTAATTTCAAGATTTTATAAATACATATTTACAAAAGGAAGGTATCAATCCAGAGTTAAACAAATGTACAGCTCTCCCAGTATTGCTGCAGTACGGGGAGAGAAATCATGCTAATGCAATCCCACAATTTACAATACCCATTATTCAAAAAGAAGCCACATTCTTAATTTAAAATACCTCATCTGAAGTCCACAATACCCACTGCTGCAAAAGCACAATCTGCCTTGAACAGAATTACACGACAAGAAAGAACTGACCCCTTTCATACAGCTTTCACACAAAAACCACCGCTTTGCCATCCAAGTGAACACTGCCAGCCAACATTTCACCATCCTACAAAAGGCGCTTTTCCAGCCCCCAGACCCCTTGGGGAGCACGGCTTGAGGACGCTGCATGGATTCAAAACCATAAATCCTTGTGGGTCCCATTCCCTGTAATCCTGTGCTGAGGGGTTGGTGAGGAAACTGCAGACCACATCACCCTACACCCTCTTGGCCAGAGAAGACGACCCACGGCACCAAACACGCTGCTGCCCAGCCTGACACACCACCAGATGGCATCACTTTATCAGCACTGGTCAGACAACAACTGCTCTCAGATCCAGTCTCTGGGACATCCCGCCTGCAGCCTTCTTCCTAACCTGGTTTTACTCCTGCTACACTCTCCATACAGACGCAGGCCTACAGGTAAAAGAGTGATTTTCCATTAATTCAGGGGTTTAAGATGTTACTGAAACCTCCAAAAATGCTTCAGATAAAAGAAAAAAAAAAGATGGGGCTACTCAGAAGCCACTTTTTGCAGTTTCCATGAGACTTCACCAATCTTCCCACTAAGCCAACAGCAACATTTCTTTCACTGCCACCACCTCAGCGCTGTTCAAATCACAGAACGAGAGATGCAGAGCCAAAAGAGAGCTACCTGAATTTCGTAACAGAAGCAGCAATGACCTCCAAGAACAAAATGCAGAAACGCCCGCAACTGAAACTATCTGAGGTACCAACTGCTGGAGGAGCCGAGAAGGCTCAGTTCTTCTGAAGACAGATGTCCAGCAATTTTCTCTTAATTCATCCAGTAGTTATAAACCTCTATGAGAGCCACCTAGGATATTTTTTAATTTAAAGTTTAGAAAATTAATTCTATTTAACCAAACTAAAGAAAGGAGTTAAAACACAAACTGCTAGTGGAAAACTGAATATAAGTTGCTAGGAGTGTTAACCTGAAGTCTTACACAATTTATTTACTTCTTTTAATCCACACTTCATGTATGCATCTCCCATATCTCACAGTCAGAGCAATATTCTGTGGTCCACTACTGTAAATCCGGTCTGGCTTGAGGCTTCCACCATACTCAGGATGCTGTTTGGTCCTCTTTAGCCACAGTCTGCAGAAGGCAAAAAAAGAGAAAAAAAAAAGGAGTACAGGAGAACTATGAGAACCACGGCCATGATTCTGGAGCAATACATTAATTTCTGCCAGAGATCAAGACTGGTCTGGCCCTCTGGTTAACCGCTGCAGTGGTAAAAGCATACAGAAGCAAATCCAGCTACAGAGACCACAATCCCAGCACAGGCTGCCAAGAACAGTTCATCAGTGTTTGAGCTTCTCATCACACTGATGACAATAATCCCAGCAAACATTTGTGAACCCATGGCTTCCAAACTGCCTGTCCCCAGAGTCATCTGTGTAACACAACCAGCCATGAAACTCGGTAAAAGTAGAAGTTAAATGACAGCCTGAAAGTGGAACAGGACAGTTGTGCCTACTGCTGCAGGGACCTATAGATGGAAGAAAACCCAGCACTGGGGCAGAAAAGGACCTCTTGAGAAAAGCTGGTTGTAAGAGAGAAAGAATATAAAAATCCTTAGCCCTTTCAGCTAAGAGCTACGCACACTGCAGCTCTGCACTGAAGCACAAGGCTCAGTGCAACATCCCTCCAGATGCATGGCTTTGTGGCTAGCACAATCTGAAGAGGAAGCAGTGCAATGAAAGTAGTAAATTAGCAATGAATTATCCAAGAGCAGTAGCTTATCAAAACCCACTTCATTCTGTCACCACATTCACTCTGTTCCTTATTTCCAATTTACCAGCCATGTTCCAGTAATTTCTATGACAACTTTGTCATTCTTTTTTCTTTTCCATGCCTAGGCAGTAAGCAAGCTGATGGACAGAAACAAGTATGACCAGAAGGTTTTCAAAACCCTGGAAATCTTACCTGCCGCAAGAACTGCTTTCCAAGATAGCTGGTCGCCATGCTTGTCAAATTTTTCCTACTGCCAACTTTACACCTGATATAACCATACAGGTTGGCTCCCTGAAGCACCACTCCCATCACAACCACGGCCTAAAACACAGGAAAATACAGTCACTGATTTACACTGCCTTGCCTGTAACATACAGCATCTATTACTGTGTTGAGGGAGGCCACTCACCAGCCACTTCACTTTGAAAGAAAAGAGAGCACTGAAAGCAAATATCACCCAGATCATAGGGCAGGTAATTAGACCTAACCAGAAAATTCGGGACTCTGCTTCTGATGAGGTTTTACTGCCTTGCGCTGATACCTAGAAACAGAAAGGACATGGAGATTAACAGGCTGCTCCAATGTACAGACCACATTGTCATTAAAAACTGTCCAGAATCTACAAACTCTCCAGTTTTTGCATCAACGCAGCAGTACTGTGTGCTTTCCAGATCAATTTCTACATCACATAATGATCTTTCTGCAGCAGAAGATGTTTCTATTTAAGGGACCATCTTGTCAATTTTCTATAAGAAGCAGTAGAGGCAGCAGCATCAAATCTCTGAGGCTAAAAGGTTAAGTTTGGGAAACACGACATTCCCTGCATGGTTCAGTTACAATGCTTAGAAACAGTCAAAGGGGTAATGTTTCCTACCTCCAAATCACTGCACAGACAACCAGAATTTCACTAATCCTAGCACTGACAGAACTAAATGTTGATAGTCTTAGGCATCAAAGTAGGGTAATTTTTTCTTTACACAGAGATCTGATTAATACCACACTATTTATTTTAGAAAGTATTTACAGAACAGAAGATGTTGAGCAAGCACTCACTTCTTCCTATAATAGTTAAAAAACCAGGATTTTTTGTTGTTAACTGGGTTAACAACTTACACGTGACTTTACAGCATCACCAGCAGTTCAGCTACCTTCTCCCTGCTCCCCCAGTATGTTCGAGCTTTTCTAAACTAGCATAGTTTTGGGAAAGAATGTGCCTGCAGTGAGGGCACAAACTCAGCTGGAGAAAAGTTTAGGTTCAAGTCCCTGCCCACTGCAGACCTTGCACATGACCCAGGAAATGACTTTTACCTCACTCCAGATCTGCTTGCCATTAGCTCTGCACAGAGATGAGAGATAGGGACCTTTTCCAAAAAGGTAAATGTGTGACATGTTGTGAGGTGCCTGACAGATGGGATACTGGAGAGGCAGCAGCACCATCATGAACACAAAGGCAAAGGAATGGCCATGCTGAACCCTATAAATTTCTTCCTACTTTCAATAGTTTTCTATAGGAGATAAAAGCTACATCAGCCGTTTCAAGTTCACATCAGAAAACTTGTAGGCTACTGATGTGACAGTTACTGGAACCTTTACTGGATCTTATGTGGAACTTTTAGGTTACTTACATTAAGCCAGATCAAGACATGATGAGAATTTTTGAATAATTTAACAAAGAGCTCATTCAGCAGCTTACATGAAACAAGCCTGTGGTTACAGATTTGCGGTGGGATGTAAATGTATACATTGGGCAATTTACCATCACAAGCATAACTGCCAATTAACACGGGCTTCATAAAACAATTAAAACGAAAAGAAATATTAAAAAAATAAAAGACATTTACCTTCCTGGCTTCAAATATCCAGTGACTTCTACCATCATCATCCACCTGGTTCCACCAGCGAAGGCCAACCATCAGCCGCCCAGTGACATTCTGAAATAGAAGAAAAGCAATGAGCTTTATGTCTTCTGCTAAAAGAAACCATTTGCCATAGTTCAGCTGTTTGAGTTGCTGTTTTCAATGGTGCTCATTCACCTCACATCTGGAAAAACAAGATTACATGGCTCTCATGTCCACAGCAAACTACTTTCTGATATGTCCAGTACAATAACAAATTACTGTAATAATACAAAGTGAGATGTATTTGTGGTGATTCTAAAGTGATCTGATAATGAAGCCTGTGCTACTTAAAAGAAAACCTAATGTATGTTCTCCATTTGATTTGCAAAAAGAAGTCAGACACAGAGATCTAAAAGTTATTACTTCAAAACACCTTGCAGTATAACACAATACCTGAGGGTATCTTTGGTATCGTGTTGTTGGAAAGGCACAGAAACGTCACTTTTTTTGTGACATGAATATCGCTCTCTTCGATTAGTTTATACAGATTAAGACAAAAAATAACAAAAAGCGTAAGAGGAACTTACCTTTACAGCCCAAAAGTCACACGACAAGAGGAGGATAATTGTCACCATGCAGGCAATAAAGCTGCTAGTTAAGAGCTCACAGAGCAGATAGACAACTATCGCACTGACTCGGAAGAATAAGTGGAAAAATGATGCCACTGGGTGCCTGGAATGAAGTACAGTACAGTCACAGCTCTTTCAGACAAGACTGAAGCAATTTCAGAGAAACATTGCCAAGGTAAACTTACAGGATAAGGATCAGCATTGTAACATGAACCCAGTGTGCGACAACTGTTTGAAATACGAAAATAAACTGACTAGAAGCTCATCGTAAGGAAGACACACTCTACATGCAGTGATATCCCATGCACAGCAAAAATGTGGGGTGGAAGGGGACAGCGAGTTTTACCTGGTATTCGATGTAAGGCAATTTTTATGGGGTAAATTTAGAAAGTTCTGACAGAGGAAATACCTCTGAATGAAAGATCACATTTCTCAACACAGCACACTTGACCTTCTTTCCAATTTCTGCAGTTTCCAGGTCAGAAACATGCAGTACAGACCCAGGGTCATCACCTGTGTCTGGACACTGCTCCGGGGCAGGAGTTTGGACAGAATGAGAAAGCAAGCGGCTGAACCAACTATGTCAGGACACAGCAGACAGCAGGGCAGCACCAGACACGGCTGAGAACAAAGACTGGGGAAGAGGTAATGGATGGGCCCAGAACCAGCATTCAGCATGGTGAGAACCTCCCGTTACAGAGTAACTTCATCGGTGTAGATGCCTCACACACAGGAACACAAACACACACCAAATGTGAGGGCACCCAGAACCACAAAGGCACAGACCTACAAAATCCAACTGAGCTTCTGGAGCTGGGGCTCCCAGTTACCCAGAAGTTACTCTGCATTACCTCTAACCAAATAAAAAAGGCATTTGCCATTTCATATTCTGATGCCATATGGCAGTCCTTCCTCGTGCTTCTGCCTAGAGCTCATCTAGAAACTCTCTCTGTGGCCACTGACCTTATTTTTGACTTTTTTGATCTCCTGGATGCATCATCATCTGCATCAAAGAGAGACACATCTTCAATGTCATCACTGCTGTCCTAGAGCAGGGAAAAGATGCAAAGAGTCTTATCAGGAAATAAAAATAAATCCATTTTCAACTTCGAGCAGGGACGGTTTTGATACCCAGAAGTCACCTTAAGATCAAAATGAATTTGGGAAGAATGTGAAGATTTAACCACACACAATACAGAAGCTGCAGTACTAAACGTTTCTGATTTGTGCTTAGTGAAAACGACATGAGCTCACAGTGTGTGTCAAGGCCCCTTCCTGCACCCAGGCAGTTAACCTCACAGCCCAGGCTAGAGGCTTTTATCCCCCATTGCTCTTACAGAGCTCACTACCTTGTACAAAATGCCAGGCAGGACTCACAGCCTCCTGCATTTTAACGACTACACCGGTAAAGGAAGCGGAACTCTTTATTTTCATGGACAGGTGCCCCTCTGGAACTGGCCCCGCGGAAACCTCACACCAGCAGCACCGGACCCAGGCCGCCCTCACCCAGGAGTCCTTTTCCCGGAGCCCCGACGGGGAAGCGCCACGCTACAGCACACCAAACCGCCCCGCCAACCGCCCCTCACAGGCTTTTAACCCGCTCCGAGGGGGGGCTCTATCTCGCAGTCCCCGTGCCCGCTTCGCTCTCGGCTGCCCGGCCCAGGCTCAGGCCCAGGCCCCGGCCCCGGCGGAGCCGCCCCCCCCGCCTGCA